CCCCAAAACCCCAAAACCCCAAAACCCCATAAGGAACAATAGCTGGGAATAGAGTTTAGAGAGTAGAAAATAATAAATATGAATCTTCTTGTATTTAATATTATTTGGAATCAAAGAGAAATATTGGGTGTAATCAGAGTCTTCTACCTCTGCGACCACCATCTCTTCTGGTTGTATCGGTGGGAATGGGAGTGACATCCTCAATTCTGCCAATTTTAAGTCCATTTCTGGCGAGGGCTCTGAGGGCTGATTGGGCACCTGGGCCTGGGGTCTTGGTCTCAACACCGCCTCTTGCTCTCATCTTAATGTGGACAGCGTTAATACCAACTTGCTTAAGGGCCTTGACAACGTCGACGGCAGCAAGCATAGCTATAATTTTGTTAACATCACATAATAACAACTTTTTATTAAGACACTATCGTAAGACATTATCATTCACCATCCTTAAGCCACCCCATATCAAGTAATAAGGTACTTAAATATGACGAAGAATCTTGGATAGTAAAGGGGTCTTAGGGTAGACAAAGAGTGTCTGTTGCAGCGTGTGATTGCCGCGAAGAGGGTTTTGACTTACCAGCATATGGAGATGATTCTTCTCTGTCAGCCTTGACCTTCATACCACCAGTGATTCTGGCGTAGGTTTCTCTACCTGAGAGATCTGTAACATGGATGAAGGTGTTGTTGAATGTTGCCAAGATGTGGCAGACTCCAAATTGATTTTCGGTCTGTTTACCAGCACCTACGACTGGGGGTCCGTAGTAGGTAACCTTCTCTTCCTTAAGTGCATCTTCACCTTCAGCGTCTACTGCCTTTCCTTTCTTTTGAGCCTTTGACTATAACAAGAGATGATGGGTTCGTGATAATAGTTACCATATTATCTGCTTCTGAGATATATTGAATAATAATACCTAAACCTTTTAATTAATTTAAGAGCAATTTTAAACAATCAATCAGTCTTTCATTTAAAACACATATCTTAAGTCTTTGATCTACTTATTACTTAAATTTTAAAGATTAATTTCACTACTAAAACAAAAACAAACATTGCTTCTCCTATCACACATGAAAGTCTATATTTCAAGCACTGAGGAAATAGTATCTGAACAGTAAGAGGAAAAAGCCCAATGAACCCAAAACATAGCCTCCGATGTACTTGAAAGTCAGATCATCAATGTATTTGGTTAAGTATTCTTTAGTCTCTTTGTATACATAATAAAGACTGATTGCAGCACTTCCCAGAATAAGGAATACTCTAAGTCTGTTGAATGAGATTAAGATACAGTTAACTATTGCTAATGGAACAAATATAGCGTAAGAGTAGCTGAAAATCTAAAATAGACTCAGATATGTTATTTCAACTGCACCTTTGTTCTTGAAGACAAGATAGCAAACAAAAGGATTTATTACGAAGAACATCAGCAACAAGAAAGTAGTTTTGAATACCTTGTGCAAGCTATAGTTTGCTTGCTTTGTTAGCAATTCTTCCTCAGTCAATGATGTCTTAATCTTATGAGACGATAATGCCGTCTGAAGATGCCCGAGGATACATAGTTCTATAATAAGAGTAGACATAATCCAGAGAGGCCCATAAAGTTCATTTATGGCAGGTTTGGTCTTGAACTCCCTAATTTGTTCAGCATCATTTTCAATTAAGTGATGCTGATTCTTTGGAATGAATGGCCAAAGAGCATCAGTCAGTTTATCTTGTATCTCTTAGGTAGTAGTATCAAAGTAAGTTTAATATTTGAACGGATCGAATATGTATTTTTGGAACAGATTCTTGGGTCTCTCGTTAGTAGCATTTGTTTCTTTTTGATTTTTAGCCGACATCAGCTATTTTGACTGCAATGCATTTTAAGGCACCATGTTAATATTCTTAGCCATTGGCTTGCTGCCTTGTGAACTGAGTAGACCAGTGCTTTCCTTCATATTTTCCTCTTAATAATCATCATCAAAGCCAAGATTAGTTCTCTACTTATTATTGGAGAAATCACCCCCAAAACTTGAGAGAATGTCATCTGGATTGAATAACTGATTAGAGTTGTTTCCTCCTTTCTTTCTGTTTGATAGAGTTTCATTTTTCTTGCCCCCTGAAAATGATGAAGAAGAATTTGAGAAACCAAGTCCTAAAAGATCATCATCAAATTTCTTTGGCTTATTTTATGGTTAGCCAAAAGTGTTAGCGAAAGTTATTGGAGGTTGATATGCCATTTTAATAGATTACTCTTTAAATTTACAATTTAACTTAATATAAAAGAAATTAATTAATTAAGCAGGTTTTTCCCTTGACTCCTATTTCTCATTTCTTGAAAGACCTTGTATTTCTTTTGCCTAGATTTGGTTTTTTGCTGAAGTCCTTCTTTGCCGTCTTTTTATAGTAGGTATTGTTCTTAGGCAAAGCTCTAGCATCCTTTTGCTCATCAATTTCAACCTCATGATAATCCTCTTGCTCTTCTTCATCTGAATCACCTTTAAATCCAACCTTTTTCTTGTCTCCTCCTTCTTTAGCCTCTTTCTCAGCCTGCTTCCTCTTGACATTCTCCTCTTGAATCCTTTTTCTTTCAGCCTTGGAGTCTCTCTTTTTCTTTAAATCGTCCATCTGATCCTTGATCTCTTTCTTGCTTTTCTTAACATAAGAGTGGAACACAACATTCCCTCTGCAAATACCTTCTTCAATCTTAACTAATTTAAGTCTAAGACGGGGACCGATTTCATGTAATTTTATGGCAACACTAGTATTTTTCTTCTTGTCTTGGAAATCCTCAGGTAGAATAAGCTTGGATTCAGGGATATCATCAACTTCTGACTCAGATGAATAACCACCTCCTTTGGAGTAAATGTAATCTGAGATGTCATTGTATCTCGAAAGATTGGGAACCTTTTTGTTGTTGACCAATCTCTTGATTGATTTGTTGATTGATCTCTATCTTGCTGAAATTCCAAAGTGTCTAAATTCTAAAGCTTCCTTCCCATTCTCGTCAGTAACCAAGTTAAACAAAACAACTCTTTTGCACTAACTTAGATTCATCTATAAATGAGGATTAAATAAAAGCTGATAAAACTTACACTTTACACTTTGATAGGTGGGAACATGCTCTGAATCATAAGTGAAACAATCTTATATGCATCATTATCATCTCTGTTCCCAAATCCATTCATGATAAGCAGCGGGGCATTCTGGAGTGTCTTTGAGAATATCTTGGAGGCTCTCTTCTTCTACTAATACTTTATCACATCTCTTGCAAGTGAATAGTCTTATATCTTGAATGTGATAGTAGGTCCCTTGGGATTTTTAAGGAATCTGACATAGCAAGACTTGTCTGTTTGAGAAAATACTACCATGTGAGTAACTCCGAACTAGCCAGCTACTGAGATGAAGTCCTTGATTGAGTTTTTCTTTTTTTCCTTCAACCTTAGTGCTGTATAGGGGTACATTAATTCACGAGTGTCTTATAATAGCTCCTTCAAGTATATTCCAATTTTACCTCTCTTGATCACAAATGCTAATTCATGTTAACTCTAAAGTAAAATTACATTTAGGAGCATATTCAGCATCCTCGTCTACGATTTCTTTATGAGTACGAGTCTTCTTCTATAAGGGAATGTAAAATTGAATTGTAAGTCTTACTCTCTTTCCACCTTTTCTGGGCATTATATATAATATGATAAATAAATAATAATTATTGCTTTTTTCTTCAATCTAATTGAATTTAATTAAGTTTGATGGGGTTTTGGGGTTTTGGGGTTTTGGGG